GTTAAATTTCTCTGATAAATTTTTGAATTTTTTGTTTTATCTGGGAGATCAATGAGTTTCCTTAATACTGCTATTTTCAATTCTTATTCAGAGAGCTCACATATTATTATCTCATTAGGGTCAGTCATTTGTTCTCTGCTTTGTCCATTTAGGGAAGTCAGACTCCCTGTTTGCCCTTGTTTCTTGCAGATGTGCATTTATGTCTTTACTTTGAAGAATTTGTTATTTATTCTGGTCTTCTCTCTGGTTTGTTTTGGTTTTATTGAATATATTTGCTTAAAGACTCTTTACTGTTTGGTTGCTACCTCCTTTTGCTTCTCACTGGCACTTTAAACCCAGGTTTGCCTTAGTCTGGTAAATACTGGAGCACTGCCCATCTCTAATGGGGGAGCTCCCAAAGAGGATATCTCACCAGTGTAGGAAGGCTCGCAAAGGGTTCCTGCCCAGGGGATCTGTGGAACGTATCTCCTACAACATGGAACTGCTGAATAGGCACTCTGATTTGGTGTTTTCTTCGGCTCAGTAACAGTTTCCTGGGTTGAGGCTGGTAGTCTTGCTTCTCCCCTTCTCCCTTTTGTCTCTGGCTGTCCTCAGGGATATTTGTCCCTTCATTCCTCATGATGATTCCAGTGGGTTGAGGCAGGGATGAGTCTCCTGGCAGGGAACTTAGAATGGTGGGGAAGCTGAATGTCCACCTCAATCTCACTTTTTCCAGTGTAGAAACTGAGTTGAAGGGAAATTTTTCTTGTGCTTGGTGCTGGGAAGACTGTGGGGAGAGGCATCACAAATATGGAAGTCTAATTCTCTTACCATCTGCTCAGAGTTTTTTCACTTCTCTGTGGCCCTGAGAAGTGACCGATCCTCATATTTGAGTTCTGGGATGTGGCTGGTGTTAATCTCTGCCAAGACCAGCTCGGGTGTAGAAACCCCAACCCAGATGACACTAAAGGAATTAAGAAACAGACACAAATAGAGTGCAAAGTGGGACTATCAGGGCTAACAGCTCTCCGAGCTCAGAGCCTCAGGAGGCTAACAGTATTCTGGGCTGAGAGCCTCTTACAGGCTGTGACCCGTGTATTTATTCTCTCTAAACAGGTGATTATTAGTAACAAACAGGTGTTCTGTGTTTCCTCATAGAACAAAAATAAACTAGGCAGTTAGCTGGTGCCTGTTTACCACTGATCAAAGACAAACCAGAAAGCATTCTCCACTAGGGAGCCACAGGGGCAGGGTCACGTATTCTGTGCTTAAAGAACTAGTTTAACTGGTATATGATATACACATACTGTTCACTGCTTTGGAACACCTTGAGCAGTTTGCTGCTTCGGGGTCCAGCTCGGTTTTCCTTGCCATGGCTCTCAGCAAACAATATAGTCCATCCTACGCTCAGCAAATCTCAGTGTTACATATTTGTTCTTGGTTTTCTGTGGCGTTAAGTGAAGCCAGCTTGCTTCTATACCACCATGTTGGAACTGGAAGTCTCTAATGCATATTAAGATCTACTTGTTTATACTTTGGGGGACTGTCAAAGAAATGAGGATACCAATTAATCATATATTCTAATAACAAAGTTATATGTTATATCAGCTTTATTTAGCCCCAACAAATTCAGTCACTGAAGTAAAACCATAGTAATACTCTTCTCCCAGAGAATCTAGAAAAAATAATTATTAATTTATAGGTCATTTAAATTTTCTCTTGTGATGTGATTAAACTATTACTTTAAAATACATATGTGTGTATTTACATTGAAAATACTACCAGCCGGGCGTGGTGGCTCAAGCCTGTAATCCCAGCACTTTGGGAGGCCGAGGCGGGTGGATCACGAGGTCAAGAGATCGAGACCATCCTGGGCAACATGGTGAAACCCGTTTCTACTAAAAATATAAAAAATTAGCTGGGCATGGTGGCGCGTGCCTGTACTCCCAGCTACTCAGGAGGCTGAGGCAGGAGAATTGTCTGAACCCAGGAGGCGGAGGTTGCGGTGAGCCGAGGTCGCACCATTGCACTCCAGCCTGGGTAACAAGAGCAAAACTCCGTCTCAAAAAAAGAAAAAGAAAATACTACCACTGTCAGCATAAAGGTATGGCTATAAGAATGTTTATCAAAGCATGGCTTATAAGAGTAAAAACTGTAAACAATTTCAGTATCTAATAATAGAAAAATACCTTAAAAATAGTATGACCATGTACTAGAACATTATGCAGCCATTAAAAATGATATTGTAAAATAACATTTACTGGTTTGGAAAGACAATCACAATTAAGTGAGAAGTAGAACTTACAAAATTGATGTACAGTATATTTTTGTTTTAAATAAGGCTATGAATATACACATAAGTTTAGAAGATTATTCAGCAATATGTTAAGAGTAGTTTTTGATGATATGGTAACCTTTTTTCAGTGAGAATGAATGTTTTGGAATACGTTTTTTTAAAGTTATTAAAAATAGCAGCATATTCAAAATCACATTGGTGATGAATATTCAGGGAATGATTCCTGTTTTAATTAAAACAATTACATACCTATTGTTTTATCTAATGCGGCTAATCAAATGCATTTCTAGATTGGCATGATTAACTTGTTTTGGAATTTGTTGATGGTTCAACTGTCAATATTATAAGTATCACCTTCTGTTATTTGTGATACCTAGTTTGTGAAGAAAACGCATAAAAAAATTTTAGTAACTATCAACCATATAACTCGAGAAAATGAATTGGACATTTCTAACTATTTAAGTAAAAATTATTTAAATCAAATTTATTTTTGTATGTTTTCAATGAAAACTTTTTGTAAAAATCTAAACAGTGTTTGAAAAACTGATGAGTTAAAACTTGGAAGGCCAAGGCAGGTGGAGCACTTGAAGTCAGCAGTTCCAGATCAGCCTAGCTAGCGTGGCAAGACCCCATGTCTACAAAAAAAAAAAAAAATACAAAAATAACAGGGCATGGTGGCATGTACCTGTAGTCCCCGTACTTTTCAGGCTGAGGTAGGAGAATTGCTTGAACCCAGGAGGTAGAGATTGCAGCGAGCTGAAATCCTGCTACTGCACTTCAGCCTGGGCAACACAGCAAGACTCCCTGTCAAAAAACAAAAACCTTAATACTATAAATCTAGAGAGGGACCAACTTGCACGTTCTAAATGCCTATTTAATAATAGCTAATATTTATTGAATAATTATTTGCCTGGTACTCTGTTGGGGCTTTACATGCATTATTTTGCTTAATTTAACAGGGCTTTTAGGTAGTTAGATGTTTTTAACATCCCCCTACCCCATTTGGGAGAAAAGGCTTAATGTACCCATGAAAGTGAATAAATGGTAGAGACAGGATTTGAACCCAGGAAGCCTGACTCGAGAGGCAATGCTCTTAATCACTAAGATGCTGTACTTGACTTTGAACTGGTGGATGCTTTCGTGACTAGTATTTATTTCCTTGAGCAATGACCTTTTAAGGTTCTAAAACAACCTAGAGGAATAAAAAACTTAGGCCATTTGGTTGATTATGTGGTGTTCATGCAATGGAGGAGGTTTTCAGTCCAAAACTAATTCCCAAAGAGAAACTTCCATAAAAATTGTTGAAGTCCTGGTGAGTATCCCCTTGAGTCTTTTTTAAATTGTTACTTCTAAATGATAACCCCATTCCTTAAAATGTCAGAGAGGAAAGTTTATCTACATCTATAGTTTCTCTGTAACGCTATCCCAACACTTTTGAATCTTTTAAGCTATCTGAGATTTACATATCATAGAGGCTGGATTCTTATCAAAGGACCAGAAATGAAGGGAAATAAGGCTTTATAAGGCTATTAGATGAAGCATTCAAAAGAACAAAAAGCAAAAGTTATTCATATGCTAGGCATTTAAAGGGTATTCATGCTTGAAAAAGTTTCGTGTCCATTTGAATATTAAGCTTCCTCTGCAGCCTCACCTCATTAATACATTTTCCTCCTTAGAAATAGGAATATTGGTTAGAATTTCAAGTAAGCCCCTGAAAGACTTGCTTGGTATATTATAGTTGTAATGATGTATGCCTGCAAATAACAATAAAAGAATATTATGAATGTAGAGTGTTAGTATCAGGGACTTACAAGGCAAGAATTATATTCAGCTGTCAGTACACAAGAATGGTGGCTAAATCAAGATAAAAGTTTATTTTTCTCTCACATAAAAAAAAGTTCAGAGTTTGACAATGTCATAGTCATCAAGGACCCAGGCTACTTCTTTCCTTCTGCCTAGCTTTCCTTAGTGCATGGCTTCAATTCTAAGGGTCACTCATGGTACAAAATGGCTGTTGGAAGTCTTAATTCCTAGATGGAAAGAGGAAGTGAAAGGAAGTCAGGAAGGACAAAATGGGCTGATATCAATTGTCTATTATTTTGTTTTCTTGAAGGTATTTTCCTGGAATTTCTCCCTACAACTTCCCTGTACATTCTGTTGGCTGAGAGTTAAGTCTATAGCAACAACTAGCTATAAGAACTAGAACATTGCTATCCAGAATAAAATCAGGCTTCTTGACTTAGAAAGAAGGGGGTAACTGTTTGGAAAGCAGCCAGCAGCCTCTGTCATAAGACTGTAGGATACATCTCATTTAGACCTTTAATTTCAAGCTGTTAAGATCCTGACTTCCCCGGCTGTCTATATAGCTGGATAGTGGCAGTTAGAATCAGAACCCAGATGGCTTGCTGACCTTTATTAACCAGAGAGCACACAATTGCTTCTGCAAATGATAAATCGGATAGAGTGATAGTAAATCAACCTAGCATTAATGAAGAGTTTTTTTTCTTGCCTCTTTACCTCATCTCCTTCCCCTGGATGGTTCAGAGTATTACTGCTTACTTAGTTGATGATCCTTTCTAACTATAATCATTTTCCTTCCCCTCAAGATACAAGTTATGCTGGCAATCCTGATTCTGTGATTAAAAATAAAGGTAGCACTTAACATTTGTTTTTAACAATAATAGTTCATGACTTTGGGTAAACTTTTTAAAATTTTCTCTTACAGTATAGCTGAAATACAGAAAGATGTGGAATACAGATTGCCATTCACCATAAACAACCTGACAATTAACATTAATATGTGAGTAGAATTATATCCTACTTTTTCATTTAAAAGGACTTAGTGTTTTTATTGTTTTGTTTCTTAGTTATTAGAAGTAAGCTTTTAAAAGTGAACTTATTTCAAATAATTAATTTATAAAATAGTGCACAATTCAATGAGATAAAAATTTTTTAAAACTATCACTCTAAGTTATAGTGCTAAAAGAAAGAAACTAGACAAGTGGAATGCAATAAAAATGTGCAATACTAATTCTTAGTACTGTAATTGTTTTTATTGATTAGCACTAAAATCTTCGCTGGAGGTAGGCTGAACAGTGATAAAAAACAAAGGGGATATATATCGCCATTAGAGATAGATTCACCTTTAAATCAGAAACAAGTTAAAATACTCCAAATTTCAGCAACAGATAATACTACATCAACTGGAAAGTTCAAGTCTAGATATGATTTGCTGATCATTTTTATGAAAAAAAAAAGTTAAAAATATAAGCATCAGGTTTTCACTTAAGTTACGAAAAGTTGGACAAAGCGATTCCTGAAGTAGCTATTTTGCCTTAAATGCAGCTATGAGGATGTAGTGAAGAGATTGTGATTACTGCAAGTTGCATTAAGTGGCTCTTGCTAGAGCAAGTGTTTGGGCCAGAGAAGACGACACCTAACTTGAAATTACTCACTTTCACGTTCTCATTGCCTAGCATAGTGCCCGTACCTAGGAGGTCTTATTAAATATTAATTGAATGAGTGAATTAAAGCATGAATATATAACTGCTGTGTTCACTTGTTATATATGAGCTTTTTGAATCATCACAGCAGCCCTGCAAATTAGGGCAACTTACAGAAACATGATTAAGAGGATAGTCAAGATACAAACCTAGGTTGACTGGGCTCCAAAGGTCATTTAGTGCCTTTTTTGCCAAAGTAGTTTTAAAATCTTCAACTATGTAAATGAAGTAGTTTATCTCTCATCAAATGTCCAGGTAGAGCTGAGCAGAGGAAGCCAATAAGGACCCAGTTTTCTTTTCAACAGTGCTACTAACAAATAGTTTTCTGAGCGAGCAGGGGAACAAAGAGGCAATTCAAAGTAAAATATTCTTGAGTTTTAGAGATTTGGAAAACCTGGTTTTATATCCAGTAAACTCTCATTTTTAAGTTTTAAAGATTTCACTCACTAATCTTGGTTTTGTAGTATTTCAAAAAGGTTTAAAGTTGCACTTTTTTTTTGGTGTTGAAAACTTACTGTTCTTTACTTGAAACCATGTGATTGACCTCTAAGTTGGGAGAGATGTGTCATTTATGGCATTTAGAAGGGAGCCATATAGAACCAAGTCTTGATGACAGCTACATTTCAATCCTGCTACTTTCCATTTTATCCTCTTACTCTTTAAAAGTACAATAAATAGTGAAATAATGCTTCACAGCATTTTATTTATTTTTATCTTGCTTTATTTTTTTTTAGAGATGGGGTCTCACTTTGTTGTCCAGGCTGGACTTAAACTCCTGGGCTCAAGTGGCTCTCCTGCCTCAGCCTCCCAAGTAGCTGGGACTACAGGTATGCACCACCACGCCCAGCCTTGACAGCATTTTCAAAGTAGAAAAACCACAGGAAATTTATATGGCTAGAACCTGGGGTCCAATAAATAACCAGACTGGACTAGTATGGTTCACCTGATACAAATGGCTGATCTGATTTTTACCTAAGATTTTTTATAGCTTGGTGTATTGTGTTTGAAAGCAATTAATGGGCATGATGTGAAGAGTATTCTATAATTCATGTCCATATATAACATTAAGATTTTACTGTGTTCAATAAGTAGTCTTATTACCAAATTTTTTCTTATATATATTTTCAGACAACACATAATAGAGCATTATTACTAAATAATCCATATAACAGTGTGAAAATTTAATTTACTTTTAAATAACTTTAAGATTTTGACTGTATAATGCACCTTTGTTATCTTCGTTTTTGTTTTTTATCTGTTCTACCTCTATCAGATTGCTTCCTCCACAATTTCCTCAGGAAAAACCAGTGATCAGTGTTTATCCACCGATACGACATCACTTAATGGATAAACAAGGAGTGTATGTTACCTCTCCATTAGTAAACAATGTATGTATATGGGATAATTTATTTATGGGTAATACAATAGGTGTATTACTTTTCTACTAAATATTTTAGAAATCTGAGGTGCATTTAAAGTTTCATTTTGTCATGGATAATTTTTTAAAAAATTGAATATTTAAGACTATGCCTTAACATTCTTAGAATATGATATGGCTGATTGTGAAAGATTGTAACTTACATATACTCTAGTATTTACCTTTGAACCCTCAAATGACTGTAAATCATCAAATATGGAAATATTTCAGCTCCATATTGATTAAATGGACTTTTAACCTGTTTACTTACTACCAGATATTTATAATATCGATTGTATAAAAAAAGGTTACAACTTGTGCATTGCTAATATCCTTTTAAATTTAATTCTTGACCTGTAAAAGTAAGTTAATATTTAGAATGACATTATCCTAATGAGACTCTATAGTCTTTTTCTGAAAGTGATTTTAATCATCATGTATTATTGTTACTTTCAGTTTACAATGCACTCAGATCTTGGAAAAATTATTCAGAGTTTGTTGGATGAGTTTTGGAAGAATCCTCCAGTTTTAGCTCCTACTTCAACAGCATTTCCTTAGTAAGTATATTTCTAAAAAAAAAGCCTGCCTGTATTTTAATTAATTAATTTTTTATTTATTTCTTTTTTTGAGACAGAGTTTTACTTTTGTTGCCCAGGCTGGAGTACAATAGTGTGATCTTGGCTCACCTCAACCTCTGCCTTTCAGGTTCAAGCAATTCTCTTGCCTCAGCCTCCCAGAGTAGCTGGGATTATAGGCATACACCACCATGCCTGGCTAATTTTGTATTTTTAATAGAGACAGGGTTTCTCCATGTTGGTCAGGCTGGTCTTGAACTCCCAACCCTCAGGTGATCCGCCTGCCTCGGCCTCCCAAAGTGCTGGGATTACAGGCATGAGCCACCACAGCTAGCAGTATTTTAATTGATTAAAGTAAGCAAAACATAGTTAAAAAATTCAAATGATGTTAAAAATCAGTCCTCCGATTTCTACATCCCCACCTTCACACAAATATATCCACATTTTCAGAGGCATATCTTTCACTCTTTTAGCTGTCTTTTTTTTTGAGACAGAGTTTCACTCTTGTTGCCTAGGCTGGAGCGCAGTGGCGCAATCTCAGCTCACTGCAACCTCCACCTCTAGGGTTCAAGTGATTCTTCTGCCTCAGCCTCCTGGGTAGCTGGGATTACAGGCATGTGCCACCACCCCTGGCTAATTTTTGTATTTTTTTAGGAGAGACCGAGTTTCACCACATTGGCCGGGCGGGTCTCGAACTCCTGACCTCAGATAATCTTCCTGCCTTCACCTCCCAAAGTGCTGGGATTACAGGCGTGAGCCACCATGCCCAGCCTTGCTGTTTCTTCTAATGTTTACCTACATCTTTTTGAATAATGTGTGCATACTTCTATGTCTTGATTCTTTCATTTTAGATATTATCTGTTGACCTCCTATTATAATAGATGAGGATTTCAGCTGTCTTTCACCAAACTTCCTTTCTCCTCATTCTCCCGGTGAAAAAAAAAATTATATCATGATTTTTAATGTTTTAATATTTGGTGTATTTATTTCTGTGACTCTAAATATTGTCCATTCCTGAGCCAAGTATGTAACCATGTTTACATTTTCCTTATGGTGTAATTTTTGCTTTTTTTTCTGGAATTAATAACTACCTACATTTTGCATTTGGTTTTGTTTTGTTTTAGATCATCTTTATTTTCCATGTCTTCTTAAAGTTAAGATGTTACTAAATTTCCACAGAGCTTTAAAACTCTGAAAAATTTCCCTTAAACCATTTTTTTCACATCATCAAACCAGTAGGGTAATATCTAGGTTTTATTTTTTCCCTCACATTCAGTGTTCCACTTCTTCCCTCTATTCTGAGTTTCTCTCTATGATGTTTGTGTAACTCTAAGCCAGGAATTTTTTTTGTTGTCATCCTGGGATTTCCCTTTGCCACTTTCTTGTATTGGATTCTCCATTTCTTAGATTTTGTTTTTCCCTTTCTCAGGCAATTTCCTAGTTTCTTGGTTTATTTCCTTCCTGTAGCTTCCTGAATAAAGTCATGTCCTTGTACTAAGGATGCTGTTTTAGTCTTGTTCTTGCATTGCTATAAAGAAATACCTGAAACTGGGTAATATATAAAGAAAAGAGGTTTAATTGGCTCAGCGTTCTGCAGACTGTATAGGAAGCATGGCATTGGCATCTGCTCAGCATCTGGGGAGCCTCAGGGAGCTTTTACTCCTAATAGAAGGTAAAGCAGGTACAGGCACATCACATGTTGAGAGGAGGGAGGAGGTACCACACACTTTTAAATAGTGACATCTCACAAGAACTTACTCACTATCACAAGGACAGCACCAAGTGGATGGCATTAAAGCATTCATGAGAAAGCCACCCCATGATCTAATCACCTCCCAGCAGGCTCTACCTCCAACATGGGGATTACAATTTGGTGTGAAATTTAGAGGGGACAACAACATCCAAAGTATATCAGATCCATAACAGATTACCCTAAAACTTGTGGTTAAAATAAAGACATTTATGTTTTTTAAGAATCTACCATTTGGTTAGGGACCAGTGGCGGCGATTGCTCACTTTTGCTCCACTTTTTGCGTTAGCTGGTGTCGCCTGGCAGTTAATGTTGGCTTAATGCTTACACTTTAGTGCTGATACATCTGTATGTGGCCTCTCCATGTGACCTGGGCTTCCTCACTGCATGGCAGGGGTAAGTTCTGAGGGTCAGGATTCCGAGAGAGAGCCCTCCAACCAAGTGGAAGCTCTATCATCTTTTTTGATTTAGCCCTGTATGTTATTCAGCATCCTTTCTGTTGCATTTTGTAAAGTTAGTCACCTAGTCTGCATCAATTGAAAGGGGAGAGAAAGTAGACTCCATCTCTCCATGGGGTAGCAAAGTTGAAGAAGTGCATATTGGTCTGGAAATATGGCTATGGCCATTTTGGAAAACACAATCTGTCACATTCGTCCTCCTAATCATAAGAATTCACCTCTTTCCTATATGTGAATCGTCACTCGCCCCTTTCCCCAAGAACTTGCAGAGTTCATCATATTACAGATTCAGGCTTGTGTTCTTTCATTTAAATCAGGTTCAGGTATAGATGAGGTTTCTCAGTTGTGTTCCTGAAGAACAATTCCTCTTGTTCCAAACACAAGGGAATTAAAGAGATAAGGTAGCTGCCCCTCTCACACCCATTATATAGTGGTAGAACAAGCCTCGGGTAACCACTATAGATTCCAAAAGAGAGAAAATAGGAAGCATACATGAGCCACTGGTTCATGTCAGTGCGGAAATCCAACTGGGCACATTTGAGGAAGACTTAGTTCATGGAAATGATTCTTCACAGAGTAGTTCTTGGTTCTTAGTTCTACCTTCTGCATCATTCTTCCTTTCTGTAAAATAATAGTCCTTGTTTCCAAGTGCATAGTTTTTTCAGCCTGCTTTCTGCCTATAGAAATTAAGGTTCCAATAGCCTCTTTTACATTTGGTACTGTCTCTGTCCCTTTTAGACCCAAAATGACACAACTCCTTTAAAATGCTTATGATTTTCTTATGAATCAGTTTTTTCTTTTATTTATATATATAAATTTTAGGTTGTGTTTTAGGTTTTGGGGTACCTGTGAAGAACATGCAAGATTGTCGCATAGGTCCATACATGGCAATGCGGTTTGCTGCCTTCCTCCCCATCACCTATATCTGGCATTTCTCCCCATGTTATCCCTCCCCAACTCCCCACCTCCCACTGTCCCTCCCCTAGCTCCCCCCCATAGACCTTAGTGTGTGATGCTCCCCTCCCTGTGTCCATGTGTTCTCATTTTTCAACACCCGCCTATGAGTGAGAACATGCGGTGTTTGATTTTCTGTTCTTGTGTCAGTATACTGAGAATGTTGGTTTCCAGGTTCATCCATGTCCCTACAAAGGACACAAACTCATCATTTTTTATGGCTGCATAGTGTTCCATGGTGTATATGTGCCACATGTTTTTCTGAGGTTTGTCAAAGATCAGATGGTTATAGATGTGTGGCATTGCCTCTGAGGCCTCTTTTCTGTTCCATTGTTCTATATCTCTGTTTTGGTACCATTACCATGCTGTTTTGATTACTGTAGCCTTGTACTATAGTTTGAAGTCAGGTAGTGTGATACCTCCAGCTTTGTTCTTTGTGCTTAGAATTGACAGCTATGTGGGCTCTCTTTTGGTTCCATATGAAGTATAAGATGGGTTTTTTCCAGTTCTGTGAAGGTCATTGGTAGCTTGATGGGGATAGCATTGAATCTATAAATTACTTTGGGCAGTATGACCATTTTCATGATATTGATTCTTCCTAACCATGAGCATGGAGCGTTTTTCCATCTGTTTGTGTCCTCTCTTATTTCGTTGAGCAGTGGTTTGTAGTTCTTCTTGAAGAGGTCCTTTACATTCTTTCTTTGTTAGTTGTGTTCCTAGGTATTTTATTCTCTTTGTAGCAATTGTGAATGGCAGTTCATTCTTGATTTGGCTCTCTTTAAGTCTGTTATTGGTGTATAGGAATGCTTGTGATTTTTGCACATTGATTTTGTATCCTGAAGTTGCTTACCAGTTTCAGGAGATTTGGGGCTGAGACAATGGGGTCTTCTAAATATACAATCATGTCATCTGCAAATAAAGACAGTTTCACTTCCTCCTTTTCTAATAGAGACAATTTGACTTCCTCCTTTCCTAATTGAATACCCTTTGTTTCTTTTTCTTGCCTGATTGCTCTGGCTAGAACTTCCAGTACTACATTGAATGGGAGTGGTGAGAAAGGGCATCCTTGTCTAGTGCCAGATTTCAAAGGGAATGCTTCCAGTTTTTGCCCAGTCAGTATGATATTGTCTGTGGGTTTGTCATAAAAAGCTTTTATTATTTTGAGATACGTTTCATCAATACCTAGTTTATTGAGAGTTTTTAGCATAAAGGCTGTTGAATTTTGTCAAAAGCCTTCTCTGCATCTATTGAGATAATCATGTGGTTTTCGTCTTTGGTTTTGTTTATGTGGTGAATTACATTTATACACTTGCGTCTGCTGAACCAGCTTGCATCCCCAGGATGAGGCCTACTTGATCTTGATGGATAAGCTTTTTGATTTGCCGTTGCAATCAGTTTGCCAGTATTTTATTGAAGAGTTTTGCATCTCTGTTCATCATGGATATTAGCCTGAAGTTTTCTTTTCTTGTTGAATCTCTGCCAGGTTTTGGTATCAGGATGATGTTGGTCTCATAAAAAGATCTGGGAAGGATTCCCTCTTTTTGAATTCTTTGAAATAGTTTCAGAAGGAGTGTCTTTTTTTTTTTGGAGGGGTGTCATATTTGATCACTTTATATAATATTTGTGTTATATAATTTAATAAATACCACCTGCCATAAAAATATTTCATCAATATTGTGCTTGACCATTGTTGTTAAGAACAATTTTGAAATAATTTGACATGTTTTATTCACAAAATCTGATCTAATGATCTTCTGTTTTTCTCTTCAGCCTATACAGTAACCCAAGTGGGATGCCTCCTTATGCTTCTCAGGGCTTTCCATTTCTTTCTCCATATTCACCACAAGAAGCAAACAGGAGTATCACTTCTTTATCTGTTGCTGACACGGTTTCTTCTTCAACAACAAGTCATACCACAGCCAAGCCAGCTGCTCCTTCATTTGGCGTCCTTTCAAACCTGCCATTACCTGTTCCTGCAATGGATGCCTCAGTACCGGTTGGTATTGTCAGTTATCTATATTTTGTGCCACTGAAACATTTATTCAGTCAATACACATTTATTACATGCCTCCATGTGCCAGCCACTAAGTTAGACACAAAATATACAAAGATTAAATCACATTTTTAAATTCAAGTAACAAACTCAGAAAGATAACCACAAATAATAATTTAAAATATGGAGCTTCTAGTTCTGATGGAGTAGAATAGACAGCTAGAGTTTTGGTAGACACAGTTAAGGGAATGGTCAGTGCTCCTAGGGACCAAGGTAGAACTAGTAGGTTGCCTTTACAAAAAATAAGATTCTGTTTTTTTTCACCACTTTCTTAGTGCCTCAAGCAGTGCATAATAAATATAGTAGGTGCTCAGCACTAAGCAACTAAGCAAATGCAAGCATTTATGCTTGAGGCCAGAGTTTGAAAGATTGTTACTAATTTTTCAGAATAACAAGGGGCTGTGTGAGAGCCAGTAACATAGTCAAAGGCATTGAGGTATAAACCGATGGCATTTTTGTGAAGCTGCCTATAGATCTCTCAGGCTGCTATATAGGGTATGGGCAAAGGCAGAAAAATGATCGTGTGGGAGCCGCACATGTCACATTTTGACATTTTGACATGTCACATTTGATGGGTCTGCTGAAGTATGCTGAGGGCTTCAAGTGTTCCATTGGCTTAAAAACTTGTATGTTCTTAAGCTACGTGGAATGTTACTGAGGGAGAGATTAATACTTTGGGCATAAAACATATAAAGGGGCAAAAAAAACCTTAAAATTATAACCCTTAGTGAATATCACCCATGGTATAGTACTCAATTATGAAACCAAACTATATCCAACATTACTGGTTTCAGAGTTTATAATCATTTAGAATATATAAACTCAAATGGACTTTGTTTTTCCAAAACTTTTCATTTTATTGTGTTAATGAATGTTAGGAACAAATTACAATTAGAAGTATAAACAAAATTATCCTTGGATAATTTTTATTATAATAATTATCCTTGGATAATTATTATCCTTGGAGGAGTTTTCAAGGGTCCTCAAGGATAAAAGTCATATATATTCAAACAGTGGCTATTCGATTGCTCATCTACCCATACTGTCTCATCTAACTGAGGCATGTAACTGTTCAGACTTTTGTTAAACTATTGCTTTTCTGTATGAAATGCCTTTCACTTCAGAGAAACATATTCATGTATAACAATGAAATCTATAGCCATATACTTAGACAAGAAAGAGAACTACCAGTTCTCTAACACAGGTACTCACATGGCACTCACCAAAAAAAAAAAAAAAAAAAAAAAAAAAAAGTAATTCTATGAATACTACGCTGAAAAAAAAATAGACTGAAGGAATAAGGGGAGATTAAGGCCATGTGAAATGTGAAGATGAAAATATGATAATGAAAACAGTTATGGGATACAGTACATTAAAGAGGACATTAGTAATTGAAAGCAGTAAGAAAAATGGCTGAAATTTAATAATAACATTTAAAACTTTTCTTTAGACAAGCCAAAATGGTTTTGGTTACAAGATGCCAGATGTCCCTGATGCATTTCCAGAACTCTCAGAACTAAGGTAAAAAACCTGGAGAGTAAAGTTGGTGACACTGTCTACTTTATTTGTAAGCAAAAACCCCAGACCATTATTTCATATCCATATTAAAGTAACTGGTTTTTTAAATCTTCACTTCCTATACAGTATTGTGGTTGTCTTAGTGGGAAAGTTTTAAAACTCAGTAGGTCCTACAGGTTGTATTTATTGAGTGACTAGTACATACTCAGGGATTTTTATAATAGTTATTATAATAACTATTAAACACTAGTTATTAAGATAACAAGATCTTTTCTCTCATGTGGCCTGCATTCTTTGAAAAATATTTTTGAATACATTATTCCTGACAATTTCAAAATATATCTTGGCCTGTTTTAGATCGTCCATTTTTCCTTTAGGAGATAAACTTTACATATAGAGAAATAGATGAAAGTTATCATAAAGTATTGGGTGTTTTTACAGAGGCAAACTTTTATTCAAATTTATAGCAGAAAAGTTTATAGTCAAATTTAAGGTGCCAGTTTTTCATGGAACTTTGCTTCTCTAAGATGCTTCATGAAGAAAATGGTTTTTGGCCATTCAGTTTTGGGAAGCATTGCATCCTTTATACCCCCATTGAGAGTTCGTGATACTGATAAGGCTTTTATTACTAAGACTACTGAATGAAGTTAAACCTTTTTTTTTTTTTTGCAGTTCTTTTTGTCTTTAGGATATATCTCATCAAAGATGTACAGCCAGGTACCCATGAGAAATCCTATAGTTAATAAAAAGCATTTAACTTTATTTGCATCAATGTCTTATAGTCATTTTGAGGAAATAGTGATTTGTTATCTTCTGTAATAATAAATTAATATTTACAGTATACTGCAGGCATGTTAAAGGTTAATATGCATTGTAATGCTCACAATAACCCCATAAAGAAGTTTTCATTTAATCAGGTTATCTTTTTTGCTTTTAAATTTTTTAAAATAATTATTATGAAAACATCAAAAATACAAAAAAGGTGAAGAAACTAATATGATGAGCCTCCATGTATCTATCATGTGGCATCGACAGCTATGAACCCTTTTGCTCACTGTGCTTCATGCCTCCTTCCATCTAGCCTTCTTGGAGGGCTGTAGGTATGAGTCATGGTTATTTTAAAGCAAATACCAGATAATACATCCTTTTTACCGGTCAGTTCTTCAGTAAATTTCTCTACCAGGTAAGGATTTTCTTCCCTTTTTTTAACCATAACCCCAATCACCATTATCATCATGCCTAACAAAATTAATGATAATTCTTTAATATTACCTTATTTCTTCAGTGTCTTAATAATTAATCTTATTCTTGGTAGTTTGTTTGAGGCAGGATTCAAAATAAGTTCCACCTATTACGTTTGTATAGTGGATCTCTTAAGTTCCTTTTAATCATGAACTATTTCTCTACAACCTTTCTCTTTTACACACACACACATACACACACACACACACACACTTAGACATATACATACACATAAATATGTGAATAAATACATGTACATGTATATACATGCATACATATATATTATACATAGTGTGTATTTATTAAATTGGTTATTTGTCCTATAAAATCTTCCAGGTCCTATTTTTTCCTTAGTGCCTCCTTATGGTACCATTGAAGATATTTCTCTGTTTCCCATAGTTTATGCTGCTGGTGGCTAGAAGTAGACAAGGTTCAATACTTTTGCCAATGCTTATGTCATAATTAGTGTATGCTTCCTATTACATCGCATAAAGCAGCAGTGAGATTTGGTTACCCTTTTTTTAGTGACACTAAGATTATATCAGATTAAAGCACCTGAAATCATTGACCATCATTAAGTCTGTAGTGGTTGTAAATATGATTTTCTGACTTATTATTATCACCAGAATTTATTAACCAGAATTACTATATGAAGAACTTGCCTTAATCAACTACATATTTTGTTACACTGAAATACACCTCATACAGGAACAAGAAAAATGCTTAATATTTCCCCTTATAGTATCGACTTTCTCAATAATGAGTTGATGCACTATCCATCTCCAGAAGTTATTCTGATGGGTGAGAAGCTCAACTTGCCTTCTATATCATTTCTGACAAAGTAAAGATGCTATGTGCTCATCATGAACATTTCTTCTTCTACACCCATAGTTGGCCATTTCTCTCAAAGACACTTGTTCTTTTCCAAAATAACAATATTGGACCTGCATTCAGTATTTAACCTGCATTCAATAATCTTAGTAACAATTTTTTTTTTGGTTTTGTGGGTTTCTCTGTTGCCCAGGCTGGAGTGTAGTAGCACAGTCTTGGCTCACTGCAGCCTCTGCCTCCTGGGTTCAAGCAACTCTTTTGCCTCAGCCTCCCAAGTAGCTGGGACTACAGGTACACACCACCATGCCCGGCTGATTTTTGTATTTTTACTAGAGATAGGGTTTCACCACGTTGGCCAGGATGGTCTTGATCTCCTGACCTTGTGATCCGCCTGCCTCAGCTTCCCAGAATGCTGGGATTACAGGTGTGAGCCATTGCGCCCGGCCTGTTTTTGTTTTTTTATAGTTCTGTTGCCTTTGGTATATGACATGCCAGAATATACTGTTGTTATTGTTTTTTTAATCTCTTCAAATAATTTTTCTCTGGGTGTTTATATAACTTAGATAAAACAGGTTTATTTATTTTTACAGCAGTCAATTTTCTTTGAATTTTAATGACTGCTTTTTTTCCCTTTTCTTTAATTATTCTCAAATTATCTGACATTTTTCTATGGTTCCATAGTCAAAAATAAGATTTACTTCCATCCATATTCCCTTTACCTAGTTTTCTCACCCTACAGATACCTATTTTTGTTTTTGGTTTAGCCCTCCATTATTTCACCATGTTGACCAGGATGGTCTCGATCTCTTGACCTCGTGATCTACCCGCCTTGGCCTCCCAAAGTTCTGGGATTACAGGCTTGAGCCACCGCGCCTGGCCAGTTGTGATTTTTAAAGAAAGTAGATATATTGATAAATCCATTGAACCAGAATTTACTTTTTCAGATTCTGTTGAGAATGTATTACAGACTGCTTTATGTTCCATTGTGGTTGATATTTTACATGATTTTAAGGTTACAATTGGCTGCCTTATGTGTATATGTAAAAATTATTTAGAACCCTATCAACTAAATAAAGCTAAAAAATTATAAATAGTTGTCATGGAGAAAAAGTTTATTTCTGATACTTATTAACTTTTTTTCTTTTGTGTTTCTAGTGTGTCACAACTCACAGATATGAATGAACAAGAGGAGGTATTACTAGAACAGTTTCTCACTTTGCCTCAACTAAAACAAATTATTACTGACAAAGATGACTTAGTAAAAAGTATTGAGGAACTAGCAAGTATGTCTTCCCTCTTCTCAGCTCAAATTTTCTGAAAAAAAATCTGGTTTTTACCTAGAAGTAAATTGGAGGTTTATCTTACAGGAAAAAATCTCCTTTTGGAGCCCAGCTTGGAAGCCAAAAGGCAAACTGTTTTAGATAAGGTGAGTTAGTGATCATTTTGAAGAGATTTATATCATTTAAAAATAGAATAAAACATCCTTTTCATTTTCTCTTTTAGTATGAATTACTTACACAAATGAAGTCTACTTTTGAAAAGAAGATGCAAAGGCAGCATGAACTTAGTGAGGTAAGACTGTTTAGGTTTTTTCCTTTGCCATATAATTTTTTTTTCTTTTTTTTTTTGAAATGGAGTTTCACTCTTTTGCCCAAGCTGGAGTGCAGTGGCATGATCTCCACTAACCACAACCTCCACCTCCCAGGTTCAAGCAATTCTCCTGCCTCAGCCTCCAGGGTAGCTGGGTTACAGGCATGTGCCACCACACCCACCTAATTTTGTATTTTTTTTCTTTTTTTGAGATGGAGTTTTGCTCTTGTTACCCAGGCTGGAGTGCAATGGCACGATCTTGGCTCACCGCAACCTCCGCCTCCTGGGTTCAAGTAATTCTCCTGCCTCAGCCTCCCAAGTAGCTGGGACTACAGGCGTGCACCACCACGCCCAGCTAATTTTTTTGTATTTTTAGTAGAGATGGGGTTTCTCTATGTTGGCAAGGCTGGTCATGAATGCCTGACCTCAGGTGATCCGACCTCCTCCACCTCCCAAGTGCTAGGATTACAGGCATGAGCCACTGTGCCCGGCCAGAATTTTTAATCTTAATGTGCATGAGTCATGTTCTTACTCTCATTATCATCAGAAACTTTGAGGTATCTGACCTTATAAGACATGATGCCTTTAAACATAGATGAATAGCTCTCAGTGATGAGGTATCATACATTATTTATGGTCATACAAGAGTGTATTTGTTTCCAAAACAGAAAATTATGACAGGCCCTGACAAATAACTTTACTGGGAAAGTTGTGAAACCATTGTAACCATTGTAGTGAAACCTAGCAATGACATCATCAGAAACTTTTGACTCACTTGTAAGCTTATGTACAAATAAGCTTAAATGAAAAGTTAGCAAATTTAAAAGTACAATATTTTAAAAATATACAGTATTATCTGCTACAAACGAGGTTTTATGCTAGAAATCCAGTTATATGAAAATCAAAAGAATTTTATAAAATTCAACCTATATTTCTGGAAAAAATGTTATCAGTAACAACATCATAGTTAACAATATTCTGTTCCCTATAAAATCAGGAACTTTGGGTAAAGCCAATGAAGTAAAACATAAAATAGATACAAACCAACAACAGCCAAAAAGATGGTAAAGGAGAATATAAATTTATAATGAATTTCAGATAATATGGTCATTTGTCAGAATAAAGAAATAAGAATAGCTGCCTTTCCGGCGGTGACGACCTACGCACGAGAACATACCTCTAGCAAAGGATCTCCTTCATCCGTCTCCAGAAGAGGAGAAGAGGAAACACAAGAAGAAACGCCTGGTGCAAAGCCCCAATTCCTACTTCATGGATGTGAAATGCCCAGGATGCTATAAAATCACCACGGTCTTCAGCCATGCACAAACGGTAGTTTTGTGTGTTGGTTGCTCCACTGTCCTCTGCCAGCCTACAGGAGGAAAAGCCAGGCTTACAGAAGGATGTTCTTTCAGGAGGAAGCAGCACTAAAAGCACTCAGAATCAAGATGAGTGGGAAACTATCTTAATAAACACATTTTGGATTAAAAAAAAAAAAAAAGAATAGCTAACATTGAGCAATTAATATGTCTTGCATCACAAGAAGCAATTTACATGTATTGGCCCATTATTACATCAAATCCTATGAAATAGGTATTGTTACTTTTTCCTATTTTACAGGTAGGGAAACTGAGGCATGGGGCAATTAAATAACTTCCTGGAGGTCATATAGTAGAAATATTAGGAGTCTAACTTAAACAGTCCTCTTTAACAGAAAATGTGCGAGAATCAACTGAAGTACTGTTACATATACATTGGAACTTAGTAAATGTTGAAGAAGTTTTCACAATACTCAACATCTTTCTTTATACAAACTCATAGCAAACTAAAAATAGAAATTGTTGATTTGGAAAAGAATATTAGAAACCAGCAGTAAACATCACATTTAATGACAAAACATTTCCAGGATCCCATTAATGTTAGGAATAAGAGAGTAATGCCTCATGATCACTGCTGTTTAACGTTGCTTGGGAGGTTCTGAGTATTGCAGAAGACAAGATGAAAAAAAGTGGTATAATGTAAAAGAAGAAATGAAACAGTTGTTTTGGCCGGGTGCGGTGGCTCACGCCTATAATCCCAGCCCTTTGGGAGGCCAAGGCGGGTAGATCACAAGGTCAAGAGATCGAGACCATCCTGGTCAACAAGGTGAAACCCCATCTCTACTAAAAATACAAAAATTAGCTAGGCATAGTGGTGCCCGCCTCCCGAGTAGTAGTCCCAGCTATTCAGGAGGCTGAGGCAGGAGAATGGCTTGAACCCAGAAAGCGGAGGTTACGGTGAGCCGAGATCGTGCCATTGTACTCCAGTCTGGGTAACAAGAGCGAAACTCCATCTCAAAAAAAAAAAAAAAAGAAACAGTTGTTTACCAAAAGTAAATAATCCAAAATTCTAGAGAACTGAGAAAATTTTTCCCTATGCTTCTGCAATTACTACTGCAAAATGAAGTAGAGAAAACAACTCATTTACAAGAGGAAAAAAATTAAAGTACTTAGAAGTGAACCCAATGAAGTAAGTTAGGAAGCTTTATTGAATGTCATAAAAGAAGAGTTGAGTTTTCTATTTTCTAAGACTATTTAGAGCAGCATGAAAGATACAGTATTATAAAGATTTCATTCTCCTCAACTTAATACAGTTCTAATCAAAATGCCAAGAGTATTTTCTTAAATCTTAACGGATATATTCTAAAGTTCATCTGAAACTTTAGGTATCAGATGGGTAAAAGTAGTCAGGAAAAGCTTGAACAAAAAGAAAAAATGAAAAATATTCCCTTTCCTAGCATCAGAATACACTGTTAAACTCCATTATTTAAAATGGTATAGTAGTTTTATAGGAAAATTATTTCTATGGAACAGACTATACAGTTCAGAAATAGACTTGTGTATGTATGTATCAGTTGGAAAAAATTTAGGATTCAATAAACTATAAACTTGGCTGTTTAGTATCCATTTAGAAAAAGGTTCAATCACTGGATCATACAATACACTACTGAATAAACTACTTATTCAATTCCACTGAATAAACTACTTCAGTGGAAACCATAAAAAGTCAGCTACCTCGTAGGATTTTTTAAGATTTTGGTGGTTTTCCTTTCTAAGCATAATAAAACAGATACAAGCATAAAGGAAAAACTTGACATATTTATACAGATTGAAAACTTGGATATATTAGAAGTCATGAAATCAAAAGTGAAGTTAAAAAAAGGGAACAAATATTTTTAGCATATACAACAAATACTAATGCCAATGCTCTGTTGCAAAAGGCAAAAACAGAAAACTGACAAAAGGAGGAGAAACATAAATGTCCAGTAAAGATTCTGCTTTAACAGTTATTCTGATCCTTAAATTTATGTAAGAATTGCTAGAAGTGATTCTTGAAATACTTTTAAAAAGCCACACACAAGACGTTGATTCCTAGGCTCCTTTCTAGGTGTTCTCACTCAGGATTTTCTGGGGATGATGAATCTTCTACACTGTAACATATGGAAGCCACTTCAGTAGACGGTTGGTTCCGTGATGGAGGAACCCGTTTTGTTTCATTTCCACTGTATACCTAATACCTGCTCCAGTGGTTGGCACATAGTAGGTACTCAATAAATATTTAATTAATAAGTAACAGATTTTTGAAAATATGTTCGGCTTTACTATAATTTTTTTAAAAAGCCAAATAAAATATCCATGTGAGCCATACTTGTAAAGATAGAAAACCAATTTTGTCAAGGGTAATAAGAAAATGGTGCATTACTGTTCATTTTTGTGTATGATGTGTCACAAAGAGAGATACTACCCCAAATGCATTAGGATGGCTGTTACTACTCTTTTTTCTTACTCTGTTGCCCAGGCTGGAGTGCAGTGCCATGATCACAGCTCACTGCAGCCTTGACCTCCCAGGCTCAAGCGATCCTCCCACCTCAGCCTCCCAAGTAGTCAGAACTACAGGTGCGTGCCATCACACCTGGTTAATTTTTGTATTTTTTGTAGAGACAAGGTCTTGCTATGTTGCCCAGACTTGTCTTGAACTCCTGGGCTCAAGAAATCTGTCTGTCTCAGTCTCCCAGAGTGCTGGAATTACAGGCATGGGCCACGATACCCAGCAGGATGGCTATTATTAAAAATAGTTTTAGTGCCTATATTTAAGTCTTTGATCCATTTTGAATCGATCTTTGTATTTAAGTAAGGTAAGGATACATCTTCACTCCTTTGCTTGTCGATATCCAGTTTTTTCCAGCACCATTTGTTGAAGACTGGTGTTTCCCCATTAACTGGACTCGGTCCTCTTGTTGAAAATCATTTGGCCATATATGTGAGAGTTTATTTCTGGGCTCTCTATTCTGTTCCATTGTTCTTTATGTTTTTATGCCAGTACCACAGTTTTAATTACTGTAACTTTGTAGTAACTTGAAATCAGGAAATATTAATCATCTTTGTTCAAGATGGTTTTGGCTATTTGGAGTCTCTTGAGATTCCATATGAATTCTAGGATGGGTTTTTCTGTTTTTGCAAAAAATGCCATCAAGATTTGATAGAGATTGCATTAAATCTGTAGATTGCTTTGCTTAGTAATGTCTTTTTAAGAATGTTAAATCTTTAAACCCACAAACTTGGGATGTCTTTCCAGTAATTTATGTCTCCAATTTCTTATAGCAGTATCTTACACTTTTCTGTGTACCAGTCTTTCACTACTTTAGTGAAATTTAATCCCATCATTTTGTCCTTGTTCTATTCATTAAAAATGGAGTCATCAGGTCCAGCCCACACTCAAGGGTGGGATTATGCAAGGGCAGGAATACCAGGAGGTGAGGTCATTAGTGGTCTCCTTAGCAGGTATCTACCACAATGATTTAATTCCTAAATCCTTGGGAAAGAACAATGATTTGCCCAGTTTCTCTCCTTTAGTAGTTTGCAGCCAACAGATTGGTTTCTCTTGAGTTAGGTATCTGCTGCTATCCAAAAGCTAAGGACCTGGGTGCAGCATTATAACATAGCAGATTTTCTCAAAAAGAGGTTATATAAGGCATATAATAGTTTCTCCATACCACTACCTCACTTCCTTTCCCTGTGAGTAATTCTTATGTGTATCATAAATTAAAGTAGTGCTTGGTTTTCTTTTTCAGAGCTGTAGTGCAAGTGCCCTACAGGCAAGATTGAAAGTAGCTGCACATGAAGCTGAGGAAGAATCTGATAATATTGCGGAAGACTTCTTGGAGGGAAAAATGGAAATAGATGATTTTCTCAGTTGCTTCATGGAAAAGAGAACAGTATGTAATACTCTTCAGTTGAGGACAAATATTGGATAAAATCTGGTGTTTTTATAGAGGAGGAGAAGCACTGGGTCTTAGCTATTTCTCTATTATATCATCTCCGTTTTTTGTACAATAGATTATTTACCTGAAAGGAAGGTTTCCATTCCTTGTGTGGGGATGTGGGCAAAAACCAAGTTCCTGGAACTTAAAACTTTGAAGGTCTGTCATGAGACTCTAGACAGCCTCACACCTTAGCTATTCCCAGGGAACCCAGGGAACCCAGGGGGACAGGCAACTGCCATTGCTCTAAGATGTCCTTTTGATGTGAGTTGGTATAAATGAGAGTGAGGGGCTGCACATGTGGCTGTTTCCTGTCTGTCAGAGGAATAGTCCTGGGTCACAAAGGGGCTCTTAGCAGAAATGGCTAATAAACTTTGTGCTGATCTAGAAGAAAACAATTTTTTTTGACAGCATAATATCAAATTACTTTAGCATACTTATGAGTGAAAAACATTAGCACATTACTGAGCTGGAGTTTTGAGTGCTGTGAAAGGAATCTGAAAAGCCTCTTGAGAATGATAACATCCTCCTCCTATCACTTCAGACTTGCTTTTTCTGAGTATACAAGCAGGTAAATCAAATAGTTCTGTTTCAGAAATGGTAGTATCTGTATCATTCTGTAATATAGCTGGTAAATCTAAGTCAAGTCTTAATAGTTGAAATCTACTCTTCAATGATTTGTTTTACCACTCGTTTAGACAGTTATCTGTAGGGATTATAAAAGACATTTTTAAAAATTGAGAAACTAATATTTCTGTTGTATTTAAAGAAAAATCCAAAAAAGTCTGCTTAATAGTTTCTTGCCTTTTAATACAGTCCAAACTGTTTACCTAATTTGTCTGAAATAATCACATTTTAAAAATAATCTTGTGTTAGTAAACTGTATGAAACAGCTGTGACACACACACATACACACACACACTCACTCCTGTTAAGGAAGATGGGGTGGATTTTATCATTCACATTTTTCATGAGAGGAAATTGAAGTTCAGTGATTTTAGTGACTTACCTATGGTTATAGTATTAGTAAGGCATTGATTTCTGGTCTATTATTCTTTAATGTTATATAATTGTGCCTGGAAGCTTGTATCTGTAAAAAAATTAGCTGGGCATGGTGGTGCATGCCTGTAATCCCAGCTACTCAGGAGGCTGAGGCAGGAGAATTGCCTGAACCCAGGAGGCGGAGGTTGTGGTGAGCCAAGATCACGCCATTGCACTCCAGCCTGGGTAACAAGAGTGAAACTCCGTCTCAAAAACAAACAAACCAAAAAAAACACAGATATTTAAAGTTATATAGTCAGATAACTGATATAAAGGATCAGTGTGTGTTTTACATTCTAGAAGCCAGCAGGCAAAGGCTGACTTCCAAGCAAGTGTTTTTTTTGTTTTGTTTTGTTTTTTTGATTATTAAATTCTTAGCTATCTTCAACATTAGCTGTCTTCAACATTCAATTTGAATAGTTAATCTTCATTAGCTATCTTTAACACTGAATTCTTAGATTATTAGCTAATTCAAAATGAATTGGTATCATATGGTCCTCTGCCTGGTCAGCTGGGCTGAGGGAGTGGATTATGGGAAGGGAGCATGAGAGGTTCCCTAAAACAGGGACTGGAGTACAGGAAAGGAAATGATAGGCATTTCTCATGACCCATTCAAACTGTTACCTGCTCCTTGTAACATGAGTGTTAATAAAATGAATTAGCTCATAATCTAATAATTTTAGCTATTAGATTATTAGCGATCTTCAACATTCAAAACCTAAAATAATGCCAACAAGTTGGCATTCCTGTCATACTTTAGGAAGTAAAGTAGTAGGCATATCTTTGGAAAAGTGACCAGTATTTTAAAAAATTTATTTTCCAGATTTGCCACTGTAGAAGAGCCAAGGAAGAGAAACTTCAGCAGGCAATTGCAATGCACAGCCAATTCCATGCTCCACTATAGGTAAATTGTATTTCAGGTTTGAGTCTCAAAGTTATCGCAACAGTTTCTTTAAATAGACATGTTGTTAATTGTGCCTGTTCATCACCCTTAAGCATAATTCTGTCATAATAGCTATTGTGCTATGTAACATAGAATGCTTTGTATTATATAATAGGCATAATATCAATATAACTGATAGAAGTCTTTTGGATGTTTTCTATTATATTGGCATGAATGAAATTTTTTTAACATTAGCTCCTTGTATAGAATTGTAAGTTATAGTCAGTTCCTTTCTCTTACCTGGTGTGTAGAGTATGCTTCATTACGTCGCTAACATTTCTCAGAAGGCTCCTTTGTCATTTCTTTCCTTGAAATGAACTTGCATTCGGTCTCTTTTCCATCCCACACCACAATTACTCTAATAATTTGCCCATCTCCATGACTTGAGGGTTCTCCTTTTTATGCAGCACTTACAGAATGATCTTCCTAAAATACCACTTTTATGATAAAATTTGCTCTGTTTCAGAACCTATAATGAACCCCTAGCAATGACAGTATCCATGTCAAATTCCTCTGGTTAAGATTTCCATAATTGGGCATATATTTCAGATCATCCATTTTAACTTTGCATTTCTCCTTACATTGCATTGTCTTACATGGCATGTTCTTCCTTCTACCACTGTATCTTAGGTTGTGCTCTTACCTGATGTCAAGATGCCTTTCCTTTTCTTCTGCATCTACGTTTTAGGAAATGATTTGTTTGCAAGAATAGTTCCCACCCCAACAAACTTAAGTAGAAACTTATGTTATTGGATAGGGCAGAGATTTATTATAGAGTAAAAATGAAGGAAAGTACAGTCACTTAAGAGTGAAAACAGCCACTGAATGACCAAAACAGCTCTTCTCACACCTTTTCTGAGGCTGCTTGTTTGCTTGTTTCTTATTTCTACATCTGTTTTCTTTTTCAAAATTTTTTCTCTTACTTGTCCTTCACCCATTCCTGCCCATAAGCCTGATTATATTATTCGACAGTTCAGGCAGCCAGTGGAGATAAATGAGTCCCTGGAGTTCCAGTACATTCCCTGGGAAAGTAACTGACCTGGTTTAGGCAAGCTATCCATCCTGGTGTAGTTAGTTTGGCCTGGAGATTGGTGTCTACTCCCTTAGTCAACTGGGCTGAGGGAATGGATGAGAAGGGAGCATGAGAGGTTCCCTAAATAAAACAGGGACTGGTGTATAGGAAAGGAAATGACAGGCACTTCTCATATCAAGTTAAACTATTATCTGCTCCTTGTAACATCAGTGCTCACAGTGCATTGTTTTATATGCTATTTTCCAAATCAAACTATAAATTCCTTAAAGGTAGGGGCTGATTTTTGATACCAACTTTGCATTTCTGCCAGCTTAAGAAGTAGACACCGCGCAGTTGCTCATTTATATGAACATACTAGAATTTGTTCCTTACATCTATTTCCTCATAGTCAAGGTATAATTTTATAGGCGTCTATTTATTATTATACTTTAAGTTCTGGGATATATGTGCAGAATGTGCAGGTTTGTTACATACATATACATGTGCTATGGTGGTTTGCTGCACCCATCAACATTAGATATTTCTCTTCATGTTGTTTCTCCCCTTGTCCCCTAACCCCGAACAGTCCCTGATGTGTGATGTTCCCCTCCCTGTGCCCATATGTTCTCATTGTTCAACTCCCACTTACGAGTGAGCACATGGTGTTTGATTTTCTGTTCCTGTGTTGGTTTGCTGAGAATGATGGTTTCCAGCTTCATCCATGTCCCTACAAAGGACAAGAACTCATTTTTTTTATGACTGTATAGTATTCCATGGTGTATATATGCCACATTTTCTTTATCCAGTCTGTCATTGATGTGCATTTGGATTGGTTCCAAGTCTTTGCTATTGTGAATAGTGCTGCAGTAAACATATGTGTGCATGTGTCTTTATAGTAGAATGATTTATAATCCTTTGGGTATATACCCAGTAATGGGATTGTTGGTTCAAGTGGTATTTCTAGTTCTAGATCCTTGAGGAATCAACTACACTGTCTTCCACATTGGTTGAACAAATTTATACTCCTGCCAACAGTGTAAAAGTGTTCCTATTTCTCCACATTCTCTCCAGCATCTGTTTTCTGACTTATTAATGATCACTATTCTAACAAGTGTGACATGGTATCTTACGGTAGTTTTGATTTGCATTTCTCTAATGATGAATGATGATGAGCTTTTTTTTTTCAAGTTTTGTTGGCTGCATAAATGTTTGAAAAGTGTCTGTTCATTCCTTTGCCTACTTTTTGATGGGGTCATTTGTTTTATTCTTGTAAATTTGTTTAAATTCCCTGTAGATTCTTGATATTAGCCCTTTGTCAGATGGATAGATGGCAAAAATTTTCTCCCATTCTGTAGGTTGCCTGTTCACTCTGATGATAGTTTCTTTTGTTGTGCAGAAGTTCTTTAGTTTAATTAGATCCCGTTTGTCAATTTGTCAAAAGCAGTTGCTTCTATGTCTTCAATGGTATTGCCTAGGTTTTCTTCTAGGGTTTTTATGGTTTTAGGTCTTATATTTAAATCTTTAATCCATCTTGAGTTAAATTTTGTATAAGGTGTAAGGAAGTGGTCCAGTTTCAGTTTTCTGCATATGGCTAGCCAGTTTTCCCAACACCATTTATTAAATAGGGAATTCTTTATCCATTGCTTGTGTTTGTCAGGTTTGTCAAAGATCAGATGGTTGTAGATGTGTGGTGTTATTTCTGAGGCCTCTGTTCTGTTGTTGATCTATGTATCTGTTTGGGTACCAGTATCATGCTGTTTTGGTTACTGTAGTCTTGTAGTATAGTTTGAAGTCAGGTATCTTGATGCGTCCAGCTTTGTTCTTTTTGCTTAGCATTGCCTTGGCTATATGGGCTCTTTTTTGGTTCGACATGAACTTTAAAGTAGTTTTTTCTAATTTTGTGAAGAAAGTAAGTGGTAGCTAGATGGGAATAGCATTGAATCTATAAATTGCTTTGGGCAGTATTGCCATTTTCACGATACTGATTCTTCCTATCCATGAGCATGTAATGTTTTTTCATTTGTTTGTGTCCTCTCTTATTTCCTTGAGCAGTGGTTTGCAGTTCTCCTTGAAGAAGGTCTTCACATCCCTTGTAAGTTGTATTTCTAGGTATCTTATTCTCTTTGTAGCAGTTGTGAATGGGAGTTTGCTCATGATTTGGCTCTTTGTCTATTATTGATGTATAGGAATGCTTGTGATTTTTGCACATTGATTTTGTAGCCTGAGACTTTGCTGAAGTTGCTCATCAGCCTAAGGAGGTTTGGGGCTGAGATTATGGGGTTTTCAGAGTATACAATCATGTCATCTGCAAATAGAGATAATTTGACTTATTGTTTTCCTATTTGAATACCCTTTATCTCTTTCTCTTGCCTGATTGCCCTGGCCAGAACTTCTAATACCATGTTGAATAGGAGTGGTGAGAGAGGGCATCCTTGTCTTGTGCTGGTTTTCAAAGGGAATGCTTCCAGCTTTTGCCCATTCAGTATATTGGCTGTGGGTTTGTCATAAATAGCTTTTATTATTTTGAGATACGTTCCATCAATATCTAGTTTATTGTTTTTACCATGAGGGTGGTTGAATTTTATTGAAGGCTTTTTCTGCGTCTGTCGAGATAATCATGTGGTTTTGTCATTGGTGCTTCTTCTATGATGGATTACATTTATTGATTTGTATATGTTGAACTAGCCTTGCATCCCAAGGATGAAGCAGACTTGGTCGTGATGGATAAGCTTTTTAATGTCCTACTGAATTTGCTTTGACAGTATTTTACTGAGGATTTTTGCATTGATGTTCTTCATGGATATTGACCTGAAATTTTGGTTTTTTGTTGTATCTCTGCCAGGTTTTGGTATCACGATGATGCTGGCCTCATAGAATGAGTTAGGGAGGAGTCCCTCTTTTTCTATCGTTTGGAATAGTTTCAGAAGGAATGGTACCAGCTCCTCTCTTACCTCTGCTAGAATTCAGCTCTGAATCGTCTGGTGGGCTTTTCTTGGATGGCAAGCTATTGATTACTGCCTCAATTTTGGAACTCATTATTGGTCTATTGAGGGATTTGACTTCTCTTTTGATTAGCCTTGGGAGTGTGTATGTGTCCAGAAATTTATGTATTTCTTCTAAATTTTCTAGTTTATTTCTGTAGACGTGTTTATGGTATTCTCTGATGGTAGTTTGTATTTCTGTAGGATAAGTGGTGATCTTTTATTTATTTATTTTTTTTGAGATGTAGTCTCACTCCATTGCCCAGGATGGAGTGCAGTGGCGTGATCTCGGCTCACTGCAACCTCCACCTCCCAGATTGAAGCAATTCTGTGTCTCAGCCCCCTGATTAGCTGGGATTACAGTTGCCTGCAAGTATGCCCAGCTAATTTTTGTATTTTTCATAGACATGGGGTTTCACTATGTTGGCCAGGCTGGTCTTGAACGCCTGACCTCACGATCCACCTGCCTTAGCCTCCCAAAGTGCTAGGATTACAGGCCTAAGCCACCGCACCTGGCTCATCTTCCTTTATTATTTTTTAATGTGTCTTCTTTTTTCTTCTTCTCTGTTTTCTTCTTTATTAATCTGGTTAGTGGTCTGTTTTGTTAATCTTTTCAGAAATCCAGCTCCTGAATTCATTGATTTTGTTGTTGTTGTTGGGGGCCCGGTGGGCTTGTGTCTCTATCTCCTTCAGTTTGGCTCTTATCTTGGTTATTTCTTGTCTTCTGCTAGCTTTTGATTTTGTTTACTCTTGTTTCTCTACTTCTTTTAATTGTGATGTTCAGGAGTCAATTTTAGATCTTTCCCACTGTCTCCTGTGGCATTTAGTGCTATAAATGTCCCTCTAGAAACTGCTTTAGCTGTGTCCCAGATATTCTAGTACATTGTGTCTTTGTTCTCATTGGTTTCAAATAACTTATTTCTACCTTAATTTTGTTATTTACCCAGTAGTCATTCAGGAGCAGGTTG